TGTTTGTTTTTGGTTGTGGTGTTTTGGGGCGTGGGGGTGGGGGGGGGGGGGGGGGGGGGGGGGGGTATTTTTACTGTTTTGTACATATTAGGATTTTATGACTTCTTTAACACCCTCGCTATTCCCTTTAAGAATTTTATACACACATTTTTACCAACATTTCTGCACCAATTGTTAGCATTATAGCATTATACTGAACATCCAGTCAGTTTGCTGAAGTAAAATATATATATATATATATTTTTTTAGAAATTAAGGAGTCAAGGTTCTTTATTTGTCATACCCACCATGCACATGTGGTAGAACGAAATTGTGTACACAGGATCCCAGTTACATCCAACAAAAGTACAAAATGTAAAAGAAAAATAAGATCTAAGTTATGAACTAAGAAAAGCGTTAACTAAAAATACACTTAGCACTAAGCACTTAGCATTAAAGCTCCAATATGGCAACGATGAGAGGTAAAACATGTTCTGTTGTACAGTCTTGTACTTCAGCATTCGCTGAGTCTCCTTTATTTGCGTTCTCGCTCTTTCCTTCACACTTTTCCTCGCTCTGCTGTTTGTCTGCACTTCTTTTCAAGTGCACTGGAGCATGATGGTCTGTTTCAGGGGGTCCTGCTGCCATGGAGATGTTTAGCCTGATACAGGTTGGGACTGTGAGGCATGAGGCATTTTCTTTCATGTCTTTTTTTTCTTTCTCCTTCTCTCCAGTCCACTTCCAGGCTTAATGGGAAAGAATAAAATCCAGATCAGACAAGAGAGCCAACAGAAGAAGGAAGGAGGGCTTTGGTAATGGTGATGTGTGGAACTGTAAACCAAGGCAGGGAATGAGGGCCAGCATTTAAGGGACAGGGTCCTGGAACACTTGGCAGATCAGAGATCAAAGGGGTACTGGGTGTCAAAAAGAGAATTAATGCGATCATTGTTTTGTTTTCTTTCACCCCATTGAAACCAAGGAGACACGTTTCATTCCAGTGTATGTGCCCGTGCTTGTGCGACAGGTTCCTGTCTTTCTGTGTCCGCCTCTCCACTCGTTGTTGTTTTGTGTTTAGGTGTGTGCGAACGACACGAGTGAAGAGGTGAAGAGCTTCAGTGCTCGCAGCTTACACGCCCTGTCAAACATCTCGTTTACCCCGTGACCGGCGTACTCCTCGCTCACTGTGCAGCCTGGGTGAAAATGAACGAGTCAACACGCAGGGGCAGATTCTCCATGTTCAGACCACTGAGGTCGAGTCAGAAGGGCCTGGATATTTACTCTGCTGTGATTGTGCACACAGAGGGAGCAGCGGTCCAGCACGGTGGTCATTTAGAATGGGGGGAGTGGGGTGTTTGAAACGTAATCTAAACAGGTGAAAGCTGTTTATTTCTGCAATCTCTTTTTCCCTTTTCCTCGTGTTTTTGGAGAATTCCTTGATCAGATTAAAACTTGGTAAAACTCTACAGATGCAGAAATAACAGACTGGATGCTGCAGATTCCAGTCAGCACAGATAAGTCTGATGCAAAGGCACGTAATTCCCTTCCACGTCTTCAAGTCTGATGAAAGGAAGGGCACCTGAGTCATGCTTCTTTTTTGATAGCATCATTGGGGAATTTACAGAACATCTAAATTCCTGTTTCTAAACCTTGCTCCAGATTAAAGTGATGAAATTTTTTTTCAATGTAGAAAAAAAGTCTCTTCTTCTCCACAGTCCATAAATAATACAACAACTCTGTTTGCTACAACTACTAAAATATGCTGCAAATAGATTCAGCTGTAAAGTGGCAAAACATTTCCCTTCATATATCCTCTGTAAACTAAGCTTTTTATTTTGGTCTTCGAGGCATTGCAGACTTAGTCACTGGAACCGTGCCTGCCTCTTTTCCAGCTATAGTCCAATTCTTAATAGAATTAAGAAGGATTAATGGCTTCTTTAGCATGCTCAAGTTCAGGCTGCTCCCCCTGCCATGCTGCTTTGCATATTTTTAAATCTCCTATAGTAATGACAGTCATAAAAAGCACTAACTGTAGCCATTAGGACTGCGTGTGGGCACAGTGTGTCACAAAATGAGTCGATGAAGTATAATTTTGCTTAAAGAAAATTGTGTTTTCTTCCCTTCTCGTTCTTCTCTTTGCTCTTTGGGGATTACGATGCTTGGACTCAATGGGTAAACTTAAAAATCACAGCCAAAACAGACCCACAAAGAGCTGACAGGTGATTAAAGTGGGAACTTAGCCACACATTTGCATGCAGTTCCTCAACAGGAAAATCACAGATTACTTCCTTTATCAGCCCAGAACACAAAGGGACCGTCTAAAGTTTGGACACAATTGTCTATTATGAACTTTTGGAAACAAACTGATAAGTATGACCAAACTTTTCTCTGGTGAAGATGGCAAATGATACATGCCAGTGTTATTTATCTGAAGAAGACAGCATCATTTTGTAAATAAAGTAAAATGGACTGTACATATATAGCACCTTTCTATCTTATCGAGATACTCAAAGAGCTTTACACTACAATTTGTGCACTCATTTACCAATTCATACAACATGACTATATCCATACAACGAATAATCAGTGCTTTATTACATTCATAAACCGATGGGCAGTGGTGTGGTCTACATTTTTGTAGTGGGTGTACTGTGCTTAGAAACCAAAATAAACTGGTTAGTACCAAAGAATGGTCAATTTATTTTGATTTTTAAGCATATTGAACATTTCCAGATTTCCCTGATGCTAATATTTGTATAAATGAACAACAAACTTTGTACAACAGTTGGCTTTGTATTAAAAACATGTTCTAGAATTCATGAAACAGTATCAAAGTAAAGCGCTGCATACCGATAGATTGTTACGGAAGCGTTTAACTGGCGTTTAATGTATCAGTGATATGTGCCTAATGATATGTCATGTATCATCGGGCACTTTTAAGTGGGTATAGCTTTTCTTGAGGGTGTACTATGTATACGCGAGTATCACGTAGACTACACCACTGCCGATGGGACACACGTCGGAGACAATGAGGGGTTCAGTGTCTTGCCCAGGGACACTTCGGCATGTGACTGCTAGTGGAATCAAACCCCCAACTTTTGCATTGGAGGACGACTGCTCTAACCAAGTTTCTGGTTCTGCACGTGCTCTCCATGACCCAGTTTGTCACTATTATCAGGAACTGGATGGCCCTGCTGCCCACCCAGTCCTTCTACCTGCTCATCAACAACAGCAGGCTGCCCAGCATGTCCCTCACCATGGCCCAGGCCTACAAGGAAAACCAGGATGAGGACGGCTTCCTCTACAAGACCTACGCCTCGCAGGAGTTGTTTGGACTCTGAGACGGGCCTGGAGACGCTCCGGCTCCATGTTCTATTCTGCTCCAGGCTGCTGTGAATAGAAAAAAAAAAAAAGTATGGATTGGTGCTGTTTTAATGTCCATCTAATAAATGTTGTGAATCTGGAGGGGAGAGACCTGCTGTGAATGAGTGGTTATATCCAGAGGAGGCAGATATTTCTCTTTGTCGTAGCGCTCGATGATGACCGGGATCTTGTTGGGGAACTTGGACCTAATTCCGGCCACCTCCTGTTTCCTGCTAGCGAAGCTCTTCCTCTGTGTGAAGGTTTGCTCTGCAGCGGGGTTCTGTCAAACGGAGCCATGCTGGCTCTGGGGTCAAAGTCACAGCGATCGCTGCTTTCTTAAGCAAACACACAAAATTGGAATATGAGATAGTTGAAAGCTGCCACTCACCTATCCATAATTCAATCTTCATTTGGATCCACAATTTGTATAGGATTTTTGAGACACCGTTGCTTACTAAATTTGTCCATGGATGGACATAAACATCTGCCAAAATCCCACAAACTTCCCGTGTGGGAGTTTCTGGCCCTGTTGGTGTCATCAGGAGCACAAACACAGACTAACAAGGTGACACAATATCAGCCGCACTAACAGCTGATAAACAGTTAATCTCTCAGAGATAAACATGATTAGCTTGGTATTATTGATTTTGGA